GATTGGGTGTTTGGGGCACTGCCCCGTCACACTCAAGGCAGGGCCGATGGGGAGGTTGTGGCGCCACCCCTGTCACACACAGAGCCAGCCAATCAGGGGGTTGGGGAGCTGCCCCGTCAGGAACAGAGCAGGGCTGATGGGGGTGTTGGGGCGCAGCTCCGTCATGCTCAGGGTAGGAGCGATCAGGTTGTGGTGCCCCAACCCTGTCACGCACAGAGCCGGGGCTGATGTGGGTGGGGGGTTTGGGCACCGCCTCCTGTCACTCACAGAGCAGGACCAATCAGGGGGTTGGGGTGCTGCCCCCCTCCGTCACCCATAGAGCAGGGCCGATCAGGGGGTTGCAGCACAGGCCCCTGTCACGCACAGAGCAGGATGGATCAGAGGGTTGGGGTGCTGCCCCATTACCCACAGAGCAGGGCCTATCAGGGGGTTGGGGCGCCACCCCCTGTCAACCACAGAGCAGGGCCTATCTGGGGGTTGCAACGCCGCCCCCATGACACTGCTTCAGGGGCCAGGAGGCCTCTCTGCTCCGCTGATCCCGGGCCTGGGAGGCCTCTCGGCTCTGCTGATTCTGGCGCTGGGAGGTCTGCGGCTCTGCTGATTCCGGCGCTGGGAGGTCTGCGGCTCTGCTGATCCTGGGGCGGTGAGGCCTCACTGCTCTGCTTCTCCGGGGCTGTTTGGCTTCACTCCAATGCTTGGAGCCTGTGTATGCAAATTTACTGCCATCTTTTAGTTTCTATAATTGAAACATTGTATCTTTTTGAGCTGTTGCTTCAGGAGCTCAGAGTCAGGCAGCGGCAGGCAGGGAACCTTGGCTTCCTCCATCGCTGGGGCAACCAAGCTGCCTGGCTGCCCACCATCATCTTGGTTGGCAGTTACTTTGCATATCGCCCTGAATAGCCAATGGGAAGCGTGTCGGAGGTATGGTTAATTACTATGTTTGTCTATTATTAGATAGGATACCACACGTGGTATTTTGTGGAAGAGCCACACTCAAGGGGCCAAAGAGCCACATGTGGCTCGCGAGCAGTGGTTTGCCGACCTCTGGCCTAAGCAGATGCCAGGAGAAAGGGGGGCAGCTTAAAGTGTGCAAGCAAGTGGGGGGCAGGCTCAGAAAGAGGACACCGGGACAGACTTACCTAAGACCAGGAGTGCCCAGCACGGGCCAAGCTCTCACACCAAAGCACCAGGCTAGCTATCTCCTACCAACATCCAGCTACTTGATAAACTTGATGCATTTGTGTGGGATGATCTACCATTGAGGGTCTTCTATGAGAAAATGCATTTTGAGTTACAGTCAATGCACAGTGGACACTTCAGACACAAAGAAGATAGGAGTGATTCTACTAAGTTTATTTTTAAAAGGGACAGGACATTAATTTTGCACCAATATGACAAAGAACACACTGAGCTCCTGGTCCTCTATGCCCCCCTTCTGTAACAGATGGCCTGCTCCAGGACCCCAGCTCTTAAGGGCCGATCCCAGGTGTTTCCCATGACAGCAACTGCAGCGAATCCAGTTAACCTCCTCCCAAGTAGCACTTCTAATATGGGACCTCCAAGTGATAGGATGTTCCTATCTCTTCCCAAAAAACAAATGCAGTAAAAGACAAAGACTATTCTGTCTCCTGACGCAGAAACAAAAAATTAAACCAGTATGAGATCCAATCCACAGGCCAACACATTCTCCAAGTCCAAACCCATGTGCAGACACTCTCTTCCCTCATCCAGGCATGAGAAAGAGCAGGGATATCCACTTAGAGACCTGATTCCTCCTGGGGAGCTACGTGTTTCAAACAGGCCAGGACACAGAAATGGGCTAAGCGCGCGTGGCTACTGAAAGGGCTTCTTTCCTAAGTGGGTCCTTTGATGTTTATCAAGGCTGGAACTCCAACTGAAACTTTTCCCGCAGCAGGAACATTTGTAAGGTTTCTCTCCTGTGTGAACCCTCTGATGCCTATTAAAGTTTGATCTTTGAATAAAGCTCTTCTCGCAGATGGGACACTTGTAGG